TTTTCTTTTTTCTTTTTTTCTTGTTCTTTGAGCTCTCCTCGCTGCTGCTGAACTCCAGGCTTTTGCGCTCCCTGCCACTCCACCTGAATGCTCTTCCTGCTGGTCTTCACGTGGCTGACTTTTCATTTGTGTTAGATTTGATGTTGGTTCTTCAGAGACCCTTCCTGGCCAATCTGCTCATCCTTATCTGGGAAGATCTTGCATGAAGTCCCTGAAGGATGAAAACAAGAGCCAGGATTGAGACTCCCCTCTGGGTTCTTTTGGGCCTGAACCAGAGGAGCAGCAATGGCTTGGGATAGAGAAAAGAAAAATACTGATGGTATGGAAAACATAACTCAAATTAATATATCAATAAACTATCCAGCCACATGGAAGCTCATCATCCTGCTACCCCAAACAGCCACTTAGCTGCCACCTTCATATTGAGCTTTGAAGGACCACTTTCCTTCTAATTCCATGGTGGTGGTATTCTAGAATTTTTGATACCTGTATCAATTAAATCTTTAAAAAACATAGAAGTTATTACTTATCATTTCTAAAAAAAATTTATTGTCCAACTACCCTGTCAATATTTCAGTACATTTCCCCTTTAGTTTACTTTTCTCTGCTATTAAGGATCTTCTAGTGCAAAATCAAGAAACCTGATCTACAATAAAGTTCAAATATTTTAGCTCATAACATACAAGACCTTTTATGATAGGGCCCATCCAACCTTTCCAGCCATCCTTCCTATTTTCAGCCAATATTTGTTCAGCATTAAGTATGTGCCAGATTCTCTGCTAGACATTTCAATATTGATAAGTGTTTAGATAAAGGATATAGGTATGGGGCACCTACCCTAAACTAAAGGATGTGTAGGGGCTGGCCAGAAAGGCAGGAGAAAGGATAACTTCTGAATGGAAGACACAATGTCTTGAAAGACATAGACACAGGAACGAGCATTGTTATAAGAACTCCAAGTAATTGTCTACCTGAAATGTGCATGTTCGGGGATGAGAGACAAGACTGGAGGCTGGTTTGGTGCAGACAGCAAAGGGTCTTGTAAGGCAGTCTAAGTATTTGGGATTTCACCACCCAAGCTATGAGATCCATGGAAGGGACAGAGTGATGGCAGTGACATGATCGGATTTTCATTCCAGTAAGCCTACTCAACCGCGTGGAAAGGTGAGCCTGAAGGCAAGCTAGAACAGGAGAAAAGACACCTTCAGGGCTACTGTTGTCCACAGGAACTCCGACTCCAGCTTCATCAAACCATCTGGCCAACCACACCATGCTCTGTCACACCACAACCTTTGTGCTGTTACCTCTGCCTGGAAGAGCCTTTCTGCTCATCTTTTAGGGAAACTCCTCTCTGAAGCCCAGTTCCAATGCCTGCTTCTCTGTGAAGACTTTTTTGTTCCCTTTATCCTTACAAATCAATTCTTTCCTCCTCTCTGTTCCCAGAGCACTTTATAGACTTTTCACATTATTATAATAATGTGTCAGCCTGGCTTGCTTCTCCTCCACACCATGAGATCATGGAGGGCAGAAGAGCCATCTCTGAATCTCCTTCCAAGGGTTTACTCTCTAGCTCGTTGTTGGCTAATCACTATGTGACTGAATGATGAATAAATGAATAAATGGATCATGTTACCTCTCCATTTAGGACCCCGTCATATCTTGAGGTCAATAACCCTTCCTCTGTCGCTGCCAGGTCTCACCTCAGACCCCAGCCTGGCTCACAGCAGAGCAGTTGGGATGTAGGTGAGAGGCGGGTGGGTCTCTGGCTGAGTTTCCTGTCTCCCCAGGTGGTCCAGCTGGAGGAGCTTCTGGCCGTGCGGCACTCTGTGTTCGTGGTGGGCAGTGCTGGTGCCGGCAAGTCTCAGGTGCTGAGGTCCCTGCACAAGACCTATCAGATCATGAAACGCCGCCCCATCTGGACTGACCTCAATCCCAAAGCAGTCACAAACGATGAGCTCTTCGGCATCATCCACCCGGCCACACGAGAATGGAAGGATGGTAAGGGAGGGCTAGCCCTAGAAGAGAGTTCCTGCCTTCCTCAGAGCCCCTTGGGCAGGCTTGAATGTAGTGGGGTGAACTGTGGAGGAGAGCACATGGGGCTGGTCTCTTTGGGATGGGAGAAAGAGGTGAGAAGGATTAAAGAGGAAGAAATCCATCTTGGTTTGGAGGGAAACCATAGCCCTTCAGTTCTCTCTCCTCAAAGACTCTTCCACTGTCCCTGGAGAGGACAAAGCAGGGCGGGCATTGGCTATAGTTCAGTGATGCTGCAGCCCACGTCATGGAGCCTCACACAACCTAGCAGTGGGTTGAAGGCATGATGAGCCGTGCAGTCAGCCTCACACAGAGGGCACCTCTTCCTGTGGGCACTGCCCAGGAGTGAGGCATCAGCTGTAGTTCAGTGATGCTGGAGCCCAGGTCATGGATCCTCACACAACCTGGCAGTGGGTTGAAGGCATGACGAAGGTGGGAAGTGCACGGCTCATTCCCAAATGAGCCATGCAGTCAGCCTAACACAGGGGGCACCTCTTCCTGTGGGCACTGCCCAGGAGTGATGGGGACGTTGCTACAGAAAACACCTTGGCCAGGTCTGACGATGTTAGCAATATCATTCATCTCAGAAGAGTCCTAGAACCATGGTCCCTTCTACAGGGATTCAGGGGGTCCCGAGCCCATGTTCACTCGGTGCTGACCTCAGCGTCACCTTTAAAGAATTAAATACCACAGGTACATGTTAGAAAGGGCTCCCGTTACTGACAGAGAAGTCCCTATGAGCCAACGGGGGCCTGACCTCTTTCTGAAACTGATGTAGCTCCTGGAAAGAGGAAACCTCACCTCCCTCCTCATGTCTCGGTGTCCAACTGCATCAGGGTCAAACTGGCTGGTCACGCCACCTCTCTAAATTTTATGTCACTGACCACTACTGAGGCTTAGCTTCTTTTCCTTCTAATCGAGGCGTAGCTTCTCTTCTTTCTAATTGCTATTAGCAATTGGCTGTCCTATGATTTCACTTCCCCTTAATATTTCTTTGTAAGAGTTCTTTATATATCAAAGACATTGGCCCTTTGTCTGTTGTAGGCATTGCTAATGGTTCCCTGGCTACCATTTGTCTACAGACACTTCATGGCCTGTTTATGATGCACTTTTTATTTTCATTTATTTATCTTTAGCTTAAGATATAGACACAATTTGTTACAGTTCTGAAGGCTATATCCAAAACTGAAGTGTGCACAGGGCTGAAGGCTCCAGGCAAGAATTCTTCCTAGATTCTGGTGGTTGCCAGCAATCCTTGACCTCTGGCTTGTCAATGCATCACTCCAAGTATCTGTCTCCATCCATACATGGCCTTCTCCCTGGACCATGCACTTTTTACAAAAGGAAATTAGGTCTCTCTAATCTTCTTAGTAGCTGGGATTCCTGTTTAGTTCATAATAGTATCATAAACATGTTCTTAAAGATTTTATTTCACATTAACATTTTTTATCCATCTGGAATTTATCTGCGGGCTTAGTAGAAGGTAAGGTAGAGAATCAACTTTATTTCTTTCCAGGTTGAGAAATGAATGGGCCAGCACTATTTACTAAGTAATCCATCCTTTCACCAGCTTGTCATACATACTGAGATCTGATTCTCAGTTTTCCATTCTGTTCCACTTACCTATTTATCTAATTCTCTACTAATGTAATTCTATTTTGCTTACAGTTATTTTATAACATTTTAATATCTGATGAGGTAAGTTCCTCTTCAATGTACTTTGTACTTTTCCTGGCTAGTATCAGACATTACTTATTCTATGTTAAATTTAAACTTGCATAATATAATTCAAACTTTAAATGGTATTAGAATTTTAATGAAAGTTTTATTAAATATATACATTAAATATGGAGAAATTGACAAAGAAGATTTATAGTAATCCCAAAGCTGTGTTTACTAAGCAAGAGAACTTTCAAATACATTGAATATATCCTTTTAAATTTTTTAGAAAAATTTGTTAAAAATAGAAATAAAGTAGGTTATGTTGATACACCTTTTTCAAAATTAGACAGATCCAATGAACAGAAAAATGAGTATAGACATAGAAGAATTGGGAAATGCATCATCAAACTCAATATAACATATAATTATAGAACTTTGCATCTTATGGATAGAAAATATTCTTTTCTTGGTTGGTTCATGGAACATTTCCAAAAATTAAAAATGTAGTTGGCCACAGAAGAAGCCATATGAATTCAAAAGTATCAATTTACAGGCCACATTCTCTGATAATAATACAATAGGACTGGAAACAAATAGCAAGAAATAATTTTACTATTTGCAAATCAAGAAATGCTCACTTAACTCAAGAAATACTCGCTTAACCCCCGGATTAAGTAGAAAATGAAATGCAACCTCTTTAGGAAACAATAAGAGAAGAACACTTCATACAAAAACCTCTGGGACACATCTGAAGTCCATGAGGAAAATAATCTGAACTCTTTTATTACAGAAGGTAGGTTGGAAATAAAGTCAATATCCATCCTAAGAAATTGTTCAAAGAATAATGAACTAAACCTAAAGAAAATTGGGAAGAAGAAACTAATAAAGATAAAAGCTGAAATTGGTAGAAAGGAACCAAAACTTCAAAGTAAGAATAAATAATTATAAATGTTGATTCTTTATGAAGACAAATAAGTCCATCATATGCATGATTAATGGGAAAAAATCAGGGTAAAAATATTAAAATTAGGAATTAGAAAGAAGACAAAATAGTAGCTATAGACAAGATTAAAATAGAAGGGACGTTTAATTAAATGACACATTTGAAAAACTAGAAAAAATAGATGGTCCCCTAGCAAAACATAATTTAACAGAATTCATTCAATGAGAAGTAGAAAATAAGTAAATGAATGAAAAGGAAATTTAACAATAGTAGCAGAACAAAAACACTACATAATTCCAAAATCATTTTTAAAAATCACCTCTCAATTTATTTTATAGAATCAGAAAATCTTGATATCATTATGTAGAACCAAAAAACAATAGCCCAATTTCACTTATTAATGTCGATTAAGACATTCTTAATAAAATATCAGTAAATAAAATCCAACATTATCTCAAAAGAATACTATATTTTTAGATCAATTATTTTTAAGTGTTAATATAAAGAATTGACAAGTTAAAGGACAGAATTCTTTGATCAATCAATAGTTGCTAAATATTCAATAGCTGTTCTTAATTTTAAATATTCTAAGTAAAATAGGAATAGACGGAAATCCCTTAAATATGAAAAATACTGTTTACCTAAAACCAAAAGGATAAAAAAGCATTCTGAATGATGAGAAACTAAAGCCATTTCTTTTCAAATCAAGCATAAGTCAGGGAGACCTATTATAACCATGATTATTCAGTATTGCTTGGTGGGATTCTAGAAAATGCTGTAGACAAGAAAATGGAATGCATGGTATAAATTGAGGGAAAGGAGAAAATTTATTTTTTGCTGCTTGTACAACTTATACCTAAAAAACTCAAGAAGCATTATTTAAAAAATCACTAGAATTTTTAAATTCTAAAGTAAGAAATTTTATTAAAGGTAACTAAACATAAAATAAATACATAAAATTTGGTAACTGTTCTCTATCCTAGCGGTCGCCAGTTCAAAATGGATATACAGGGGGAATTTCATGCAAATAGCAATAAAAACTATGATATATTTAGGGATATATTTGGCCAAAGAGATATATTGAAAACACTATAAAACTTTATTAAGGAACATAAAACAATATTTGAATAAATGAAAAGATATGTCATATTATTCATTGGGAATCCTTAGGTTCATAAAAATCAATTCCATCCACACAAGATATAAATTTCATGTAATGCCACACTGGGCCTTCTCCCAAAGCCTGCATTTGAAAGATTCGCCTGGGCCGCAGTTACAAAGGATGGGAACAGTACTTGTAAAGGCTTTGTGCGATTCCATCATGTTACCGTTGCCTGTTGAAATGATTTACTGGGCCCCTTCTCACTTAAAAAAGCTAGTTCTATCAGGTTTTGTTGTTGCTTTTCTTACAAAAAGTTAAACTGGAGCACAGAGGGGCACCTTGGGCCTGTCGAATGTTTGGTGGAAGAGCATACAAAGCCAGTTCTGACTGGGTTTTATTTACACCTCCACTGAATGTTACAGCCAATGGGGAAGGCCTGTGTTAAGAGAAAAAAAGACTGATGGTGAAATGGAAAATGAACTATCTGTGGTTCCTTTCAGGATTGTTCTCTTCCATCATGCGGGAGCTTGCCAACGTCGCCCATGATGGGCCCAAGTGGATTTTGCTGGATGGCGACATAGATCCAATGTGGATCGAGTCTCTGAACACTGTCATGGATGATAACAAGGTATGAAAGGGAGGAGGGAAATTATCCCTAATCACCTATGAAACCAGTCCCCACACACATTTAGAAATCATAATTTCACACAAGGGCTCATCAAAGTAAGGAATTATTACTGATATCTTCATTTTTAAAAAATTTCCAGCTTTATTGAAATACTAGAGGCCTGGTGCACAAAATTCATGCACTCCGGGGAGGGGGTCCCTCAGCCCAGCCTATGCTCTCTCACAGTGTGGCACCCCTCGGAGAATGTCCACCCCAATGGGGACCCTCACCCCATGGAGGCTTGGCCAGCCTGGGTGAGGGGCTGATGGCTGTTTTCAGATTGGCCACACCCCCTTTAGTGTGGGGTCAAACAACCAGTCGCTATGATGTGCACTGACCACCAGGGGCCATGCGAAGAACATGGTAGGCATTGGCCGTGGCAGGATAGTGGAGCAGGTGAGCGGGGGCACCAGACCAAGGCAGGACGCCGGTTGCTGTCATCAGGGCGAGCCTCTGGTGGTTACTAAAAATTCTTTGCTCCCATGTGCCACGGTCTCACCCAGCGCTCACACCTGCTGCTGGTGCCAGCCCAACTCACACCCACTGCCAGCACCCGGTGCCAGCCCTGATCGCTCAGTGCCAGCAGCGGGTGTGAGCGGCGGCTGCCAGCCCCAATCACCCCTCAGGGCTTCTCCACTTCCCCCTGCCCCTGAGGGGCTATCAGGGCTGGCAGCCACCTCTCGCACCCACTGCCAACACTGGCCCTGCTCGTACCTACCGCTGGCACTGCAGCCACCTCTCACACCCACTGCTGGTGCCCAGCACTGGTCCCGATCACTCGGCACCGTCAGTGGGTGTGAGCAGCTGCTGCCGGCCCCAATCGCCCCTGAGGGCTTCTCCACCTCTCCCTGCTCCTGATGGGTGATCGGGACAGCAGCTGCTGCTTGCACCCCTGACAGCACTAGCCCTGCTTGCACCCACTGCTGGCGCTGGCCCCAATCACTCTGCACCATCAGCAGGTGCAAGTGGGGCTGGTGCCAACAGCGCATGGGAGCAGCAGCAGTGGGAGCGGGGCTGCGGGCAGACAGAGGACCTGGGGCTGTAGCAGGAGGTGCTGGAAAGGGGCATGGAGGATGGGCAAAGAGCCACCCTTGTGCCCACTGCAGCCTTGCGGCCCACAGTTCCTTTCAAGGTGCATGAATTCATGCACTGGGCCCCTAGTATAGGATAATTGACATGTAGCATTGTGTACATTTAAGTTGTACAACATGGTGATTTGAAATATCCGTATATTGCAAAATAATTACTGTAATAAGGTTGGTAAACACTTCCATCACTTCACATGATTACGTGTGTGTGTGGTGAGAACTTCTAATATCTACT